AAACTAGGACTTCACTGTAGAAGATTAACATTTAAAAAAATGGGAGTTTCAAAAACACATAATAGAAAAAAATTCAGGATAAAATATTATTGAATAAATTATTTTCAAATGTTTTCCAGAATTTAACGAGATAGTTTCCAGATGGAAAAGGATAATTAAGAAGATCCCAGTGGCCAGCCCAGTGGTCAGGTGGTTAAAGTTCCGTGCCCTCCACTTTGGCGGCCCGAGTTGGAGGATTCAGATCCTGGGTGCAGACCTGCTCCACTTGTCAACCATGCTGCAGAGGCATCCCACCTACAAAGTAGAGGAAGACTGGCACAGATGTTAGCTCAGGCTAATCTTCCTCACCAAAAAAAAAAGAAGATCCCAGCTCATAACTGGGTTCAAAAAGATGATTCTATGAGGAAAAACAAAAAACAGGTTTCATGAAAGGATGGGGAATTACAGCATCAAACTTCTCAAAATAGACTCTGGAAACTAGAAAAAAGCAGAGTGAGAGAGATCATTCTGAGAGAAGACACAGAATTCTCATGCCCAGGTGAATGTTCAGTCAAGTGCAAGTGTCATAAGACATCAGATGTCAAGGTCTCAGGAAATTTGCCTCCCATTTGCTCTTTCACAGGAAGTGACCAGGATCTGGGATTACTGAAAGGAGGTTTGAGCAAAGGAGGAGGCAGACCCTGTCCATGGTCCAGGAACCCTCCCCAGCCCGGCAGGATGTGGACAACGTAGATAAAAGATGAGAAGGAAGCAGACGAGAAAGAAAGCCAGTGGGCTCAGGAGACATCATACAGCCGGACAAGGATGCTACTTGCTGTTAGTGCCGGGCGTGGATTCTGACTCCCAACCCCTCTGTCACAGCAGAGCGGAGCCCTGCCGGGTCTCTCTGCTCCATCTTCTCATCTTCCGGTGCTGTACCCAATGATACTCCCCTGCTATTCACAGGATTTTCATGAATTAAAATTGATATTTTCCAGAAGTGGGAGGACAGGTCCTCCTTCCTAGTCTGTCTTAGCCTGGAAGCTCCACTGAAACCTGTCTACCATGGGTGACCCTGCTGGTAGCTGAAATCCTGGTGGCACAGCTTTCAGCATCACAGCAACATGCAGCCTCCACAGTATGACAACCAACAGATGGATGGTGTGGTTCCCTGACCGGGAAACCAACCGAGCCACGGGGGTGAGAGCACCAGAAAGGAACGACTAGACCCCCAGGGCTGGCCATGATGCTATATACATAATTTTAATAATGTTAAAATTGAATACTATTGTAACCAAAAATTATCATATGGCTATTGGGAACCTGGTGTGAGGAGAGGTGTGTGTGTGCACGTGTGCGCGTGTGCGTGTGTGTAGAGAGGAGCTGGAGGCGATATAAAGGAAACAGATTTTCATCTTCCAAAGTAAGAAGTTAATACACAATATCTAAAACTGGAAAATCAGGAAATGTCTCAGTGTTTACTTAGGTATATGGAAGAAAATACCAAAAGAAATAGTTAAAATGATTGAAAGCAGTTGCCTTTAAGGAATTGAGAGACTGCTTTTTTGTTTTGGATGTTGTTGTGATAAACCTTGTGCAACTATTTGTCTTTCTGTATTTGTAAATTTGATGGGAAAATTGCAAGCAGGAGATTTCAGTTCTGCGAGAAAGAATAGTGAGAAAAGCAACCAAAGGGAAGGAAGGCTCTCGTGGATGTGTGAGCAGCATCACACAGGTTGTCCTTAGTGCAGCCTCCAGAAGCTCCCAGAAGCCGCAAAACGAGGAGGATGGCGTTCGTCAGCAGCTGTAAAGGATATGAACATGCTGGCACTTGGTTTAATATTTGCACATACCCTGGAAGGTGCAAAAAGGATTAAAGGGTGAAAGCGGATGTAAAATGGTCACGAAGGCCTCTACGTCTGCACAAACAGTTCATAATTATTTCACAAAACCTGAATTTACATTTTTTTGGAATAGAAAATTCAAAAATCACTAGTAGCTGGGGCCGGCCCTGTGGCATAGCAGTTAAGTTTGCGCACTCTGCTTCGGCAGCCCTGGCTTCGCCAGTTTGGATCCCAGGCGGACATACGCATGGCTCATCAAGCCACTACTATAAAGTAGAGGAAGATGGGCATGGATGTTAGCTGAGGGCCAGTCTTCCTCAGCAAAAAAAAGAGCAAGATTTGTGGTGGATGTTAGCTAATCTTACTCAAAAGAAAAATTATTAGTGGCTGATTGCTAATCAAAGTGTTTGAGATATTTACTGAGAAAAATAGGTTTCTGAATTGTCCCCTAATGTTAAAATTGTTCTTTCTATGAATAATTCGCTAATAACTCAATATTGTAGTGGCCAAGTCTCAATCCACATGGAATCCACATTTGCGGCCAAAATAACAAAGAAACTACACATAAATTTATGAAAATTCTACAATACATGGCATATCTACAGAAAACAGATATGTTCCTTACAAAGGAAGAGGAAGTGTCAGCTTGTGGATTTGGGTCTGATAAGTCTAGCCCAGTACCTGGTGTGTGGGCACTCAACAAATACCTCCTAAGCAAATGATTAAAAAAGTAAATGAGTAAAATGTTGGAAGGTATTTCAAGAAGTCCAAAATCACAAAGCAAATGAGAGAAAAAAGAATTGACTCTGTTTAAAAAGACTAAAATCACAGAGATTCTGTAGTCTTCATTCTGGACTCTTGACATCTCGGTATCATAAAATATCTTTTCTATCTAAGCTTGACCTCTGGTTTCAGAGGTTAAGATCTTTTCCTCTTTTCTGCCCACTCAACTTTGGGTAAGGAAGTCTCCCAGCAGAGTGGGTCTTGGACTGGCCTAAAGCTGGGGCACGCTATAGCCATCCCACACCCACAAAAATTCAACTCAGCCGCGTGCAGAGGCATTGACGAACTTCTGGACACGGTGAGGAGTCAAGCAATAGCCAGAGCTTCAGTAGCAGCTGGAAACAGCCTGAGGTTACAAAACCTTTGAGAGTGACAAGCCCAGTCTGTGTGAAGGATGTGACAGCATCCTCACTCAGGTTAGGCAGGAGCCAGAGAGGGAGGCGGCTGGCTGAGGACTGGAGGGGCCGGGACCCGGCTGGCCTCCGGCCGGCTGTCCCAGTGTATCGCCCGCTTGCGGAGCTGAGCGTGTGAGGTGAGTCAGGATCTTCTGCCTGCATTGGGAACTTGCAGTCTTGCCTGGTGTGTTGTGTCTTCCCATCAATCACAGAATCATCACCCTTTTGACAACCTCGCAACCTTACGAGCAAGGGTCTTTCATATCCGTGGAGGCCTTTTAACGCTTCTCTTCTCTGGATGGAATGCCTTCTTTCAGTGAGTTACTTTCAAGTCATGTAACCATCTTTGCTTCCACATACCTGCCACTAACATGCTCCAGCTTGTAGAAAATTCTTAATATTCTTTTCTTAACATTTTTAATCATGATGTTCTCTTTTCTCTCCCTGTAATCCAGTTGGAAATGCATGACCTTTGACTCAAAAATTCACATTCAGATCCAACTTTTGCCATGTATTTTTTTTGCCATATACTCTGGGTTCTTTGGAAGTTATGTCACTTCTGGGTCTAATTTTTAAGTGAAAATCATGCACTGCAGTCATGAGCAAACATTTATTCCCACATGTTTACCAGAAGAGTTAACGTCCAATGATAAAAACAAGACGTGATACTTTACCATGCGGAGTGAGAAATGGTCTTGTGACCAAATCTGAAGTGAGTTTGCTCACCCGTTGTGCAGCAAGCCAATCTCTGACGCTGGGTGTGGTGGAAGAAAGTAGGAATTTTATTTTTGCACAGCGCTGAGCAAGGAGAGAGGGCAGCTAACGCTCAAATCCCAAATTCTCCAAAAAGCTAAAAGGAAGGGTTTTTATTTGGGGATTTAGGTAGGGGAGGGGGAGCATATGGCCTTGCTGGTCCGAGCTTTCCCACCAGCCTGTCTTTGGCCTTGAGACTACTTGCAGAGAGGAGGGAGCCCGTGACCTTGCTGGTCAGCAGCTTTCCCACCAGTCTGTATCTCTTTGTGGGGAGGAGATAGTCCAGGTGCTTGTCCTTGACAGTGTCTGTCTCCATGGAGCATAGTGGATTCTGGAGCCAGGAAGCCAGAGAGTAAGCAGGGAATGAGTGTTTTGGTTTTAACCCCCTATATGCTGGGTTTAATGTGGGGAAACTGCTATCAGGGTCGGTATCAACTTCCCCCCTATATTATGTCCATCCCTCAATCTTGAGGGATTTGGGGCAGCGACCGATCTAGCTACTTTTTGCTGAAATGGGGTGTAGGTCATTTCATCTCATTGAACTAGTCTTTTAATAAGGCAATGATGCTGGTGGGTTCCTGAAGTTAGGCCTGTATCATGTAAGTAAGTAACCAGGTATTTAATAAGAAGTTTTTCTAGAGAAACAAAAAGAGAAAAACAAGGTTAACGGTTGGAGCAAATTATAAACCAGTTTCTGAGCCCAAGGGGCAGCCAATCAAGATTCTTAGAAGTCAGTGTTGAAGCATCTTTTGTAGTTTGAAATGTCTCTGACGGTGTCATCAGGCACTCAGGTAGGTTTTTGAGTGGCTTACACAGCAGCAGACATGAATCTCTCTTAAGTTTATATTAGGTCCTCCAGCTTCAGTTTGTAAGGCTTTAGGAAAAAGGGCAGATTTAGTTTTTAATGACTCCAAATGAAAATAATGGGAATAAAAAAACCCTGAAAATGTTAGTTTGGAGGTTTTTAGCCAGATATTTCAGAAGACTAGAAGAATTTAAGATCCAGTCCAGTTAATAGAAGTGAAACAAAATTTCAAAGATAATTGAGAAAACTAAAATCCAATATTTATAAGTATGTATCATAGTTTTGGTTGAAATATAATTTTCTTCCCTAAAATCACCCTCAATTTCACTAGACATAGTCAAATTAAGACTAACTGGTTTGCATAATGTTTAGTTTTAATAAATTTGGCATAATTATTTACATAAGTATAGCAAGAATAGTAATTGATCATATAGGCTCTTTTAAATCTGCTTTGCTGGAACCTCATAAGGAATCTCAGGTTGATCCTTAAAGGCCTCTCAAGGAAAGCCAAGTAAAGGACTTGTTATCACATTCTGCCTATAGTACCTGCAGATTTGGGTGAATCCTTCTCTTCATGAGGTTCTCCAAAATATTGAGGTTCCTGATACTTGTCAGAGGGAGCGATATTCTTTGCTCAACCTTACCAGGTTACAGAACCCATAAGCACAGTACCAGGCCAATATTTCCAAGTGGCTTTATTCAAGAATGTCAACCTTCATTCCTCAAAAGCTGTCGTGTTATATCCAAGCCTGTATTTTTTTTTTTAAATATGATGTTCCAGTCAAAGCCTTGGTAATATAGCCAGGTTTCCAGTTGTGTCCTGTTAAAAGAAGAACAGATTCTTATTGCACTTATGTAAACAACTATATTGCTATAAGAATAAGAATACTTACTTATCAGAAGTTTTTGTGTTTTGAGAGGCTCAGATAGGGAGGAAAAGACAAATGTTTCAATTTTGTTTATAAATTACTGCAAGTCATAGTTCTTTAAGAGAATAGAGAAAAAGGTTTTCTTAACTCTGAAAAAAAGCAAAACATCAAAAACAGTAATATCTCAATTAAAAAGTCATAAAAATTATAATCATCTCTATCAGTTTATTCTGTCCTGTGTAATTGGTTCTTGATCTTAATCTTCTGTCAGCAGTTTGTGAGGTCATCAGTTTCTCTGCTGGAGTTCTGTAATTTTTACCCAGTTTAGTTTTACAATCTGAATATTTATTGGAAACCTGTATTCTAGAGTGTCAGAGTCCTTTCCATGAATTTCTCTGAAGATGAAACATATTTGCAAAAACATCAAAGTAAAATAGCCACTGTTTATAAATAACAAAACATTCAAAAATGGTAATTGACAAAGGCATTTGGCCATGTCTGTGATATATAACATTTTGAGGTAATAAACAAGATTGTGGCTGACAATCAAAACAGATCAGATAATTTTTAGAATATTTGTATCAATAATATTTATATCAATAACACTCATTTATATAATATCATTTAAGAAAGTTTATCATTATTTATTTGACAACGCTTTTCATGTAATTTAACATATAAAATAAGTCTTATTAGTTTAGCATTCTTTCCTTACAGGAAGAGAGCAAATTTTTCCGAGAAGTCCCAGGGGCCCTCCGAAAATCCCTAGAGAAACTTTCCCTCCTCTTCCAGGTCAAAAGAAAGCCTTTATTTAAGACTTGAATATTTGTGTGGGGGGGAAGCTTGTCAAAAATATTAAAAACTTTGAAACATTTGTTCAGATAGGAAACAAAGTTCACTGCAAAACCATGTTCAGGTATCTACTCGAAGTGACAACAAAACAGTCAAGGGGAAACAGTTAAAATAGTCAAAAAAAGTCTTTTTATAATCTTTTTATAAAGAGCAGATTAAAATTTAGGAAAATTATCCTTTTAAGAAAGAGGAAACTAAGTTTTAATTTTGTATCAGTTTATTTTTGACATATAAGTTTATTTACTTAATTGGATTTACTTTAATCCTGGACAACTTAACCATACATATATTTCTTTAGGGCTTTATTTTTATAAACCTTTGGTTACTCTTTTACATTCAGAATTTGTCCCAGCACTTTAGGATAAATTTATCTTTGTCAACTCAAGAAACAAAAATATTTCTATTTTTTATATCTTTTTATTGAAAACATATATTTTATTTTCTTTGTATATAGATCCTTTAGAAATATATGTTTCCTCATAGAAAATTTCTCAGTATATATAAAACATGTTTATTAATAAACCTAAGCACTTTTTAGTCTCTTTGATACAAGAAACCAAAGGCAGACAAATATATGCTTAGTAGTTAACCTTTAATATTTTATCTTACGTGAAAATGACCTAGATACCCAATAAATTGTTATTATTTAACTTAACTTAGTAAAGCTATAAAATTTAAGTTTCCAAAAAGATTTTGGAAGCTGTTTTTAAGTATGCAGCCTATAAAACATAATTATTGTACTTAAAACTCTTACCCAGTTTTAACAATTATTCTTAAAACTTCACGTGACATTACAGCAGTTAACTGTTATCCTCAGTTGTTTTAAGTATATATATCATAATATCATTATTATACATATAATTATATATATATATATATTTAGTTTACCTGTTCTTAACAATTATATTTAGATCGCCTATAAAAACTCCAGGAGACATTAAACAAAATTAGCTATTATACTGTTATGAGTTTTGCTGATAAATTTTGTAACAGAGATGAGATGAGCTCATTTGACCAGTAAACCCAGGCTGTATGTCTGCGTTGTAGCCAATGCTGATAACTTTGAGGACATGTTCATTTTAAAATGAAACCAGCAAACTTAAACAGGCTTTCATTCATCAAAGATCATTTTGTATCATGTTAAATAACTTTGTTTCTTAGAAGTTTTTGCATATTCATTAAAGACTGCATTCCATTACGAGAGATTTTGAAACTTCTTCTGAAACAGGTTTTCAGAATGGCCGTTACAATTCTAAATTACCTCAAAAGTTTACTTATTTTGACTCGTTCAATTTTAGATCAGGAATTTTGGGGCAGTTGAAGTGAAGCTCAGCTTTCAGGGAAGCTCAGCAGGAGAGTAGACAAAAGCAGTAGATTTGGGTTCAGCTGCTGGCATGTTTAATTATTTAATTATTTTCTCTTAAAGAGGCAGTAAAGTGTTTCTAATTTTTTTTAGAAGCCTTAAAAGATTAAAACAGGCTCCCCGTTGTTGCAGCTGGCTTTTCCAATTGCATACATCAGTTTGCATGAACTGAAATTGGCCTGTTTAAGTATATCAATTTTTACAAAACTTTGTCTTAGTTTTACTAACCCTCATACTTTTAATTATAACTTACATTAGAATTCTATTAACAAGTTTTGGTATTATAATATTGTTCAGCGGAAGCATTCTCAGTTAGACATAACATTTATTCCCAAAGAAAACATCCAGGCAAAGTTGACATAACCTCTTCATATAATATTAGCTTAAATACTTTAATCTTTATAGTCTTATTAATCATAGTAGCCTAACTGTCAACCCAAACAATTGTTGGTCAGGTTTCTCACTCTGATTTTTACGTCCTGGCCTTTTACATTTTTCAAACTGGTGTAAATAGAACACGTTTGTCTGATGTCCTTTAATGTTGGGGAGCCAATAGGGGGCTCCCTTTAGCCCATCCAACCTTAGGCAATGTTTCATTAAAACCTTTGTTTTAACTTCATCCATATCTGTTCCATTTATCCCATTGGGACGAGTCCTGTGACTCTTCCCTTTCTGATTTCTCTTTGTTCACTTAACATTTTCATTAGCATCTGTAAGACTGCAAGAAGCTGAGACCCCAAGTTTGATTAAGTTCTTAAGACTAGTCGTTATAGTTTTCTCTTAATTTGGTCTTTTCATAGGTACCAATAAAACAGTTGTTGATCATAAGAGCTCTCTAAAAAGTTTCCCAACTTGAGGATCCATCTTTTGGCCATTTTGTTTTTCCTCCGGAGTCTAAAGAATATTGTGGCCACGTGGTGTTACAAAAGAAAATCATCCCTCTTTAGACACTGGCTTACAGCTATAGGTCGACCATCAGCCAAAGTTTTTCCCAAGGGGCTCTTAGGTGGAATAAATGCAGCACCTCCCATGTTAACACTTTTAAAAGGACAGACAAACAGACAAACAACAACAAATGCCAAACAAGTGCGCATTCCCAAAAACCTTCGGCCACAAACGGAAGCCAAAACAAAGACCGAAACCAAAAACCAAAGTGCTTCCAGTCCCAGCTTAGTCCGTGTCCTACACTCGGGGGTGCCCAACAAATGAAGATCCCCTATGCAGATCTTCCCAAATGGGCAAGGACAAGGGACCTCGGTTGTGCACACCCAGGGGACTTACCAAAATTTGGCCAGGGTGTAGTGGCGACTTCAAAACAAACGAAGCCCAGAGGGCTGCCAAGGTACCCATTATTTCCGGCCGGTCCTGTTGGAAAAGCTTAACACAAGGACAAAGACAAAAACTACCAGCTGCTTACAAGAGATGTCTTCCTAAGTCCTAAACCTAGTTTCTTCCACCACCAAAGCAAAAGCGCCATGGGCCAATGACGTCTGGCTAGCATCCAGTCACTTGGGGCTGTCCCTGAGACAAGGGGCTCAGGCAGCTGCAGGACAGCTTCCAAGAGAGGCCTTTAGGCAGAGGCCGGTGTGCCACAGGCGAGACGTCCACCTGGGACACTGTCCCATCTGGGTTGCCAAATTGTTACCGAACCTGAAGTGAGTTCGCTCACCTGTTGAGCAGCAAGCCAATCTCTGACACCGGGTGTGGTGGAAGAAAGTAGGAATTTTATTTTTGCACAGCGCTGAGCAAGGAGAGAGGGCAGCTAACGCTCAAATCCCAAACTCCCCGAAAAGCTAAAAGGAAGGGTTTTTATTTGGGGCTTTAGGTGGGGGAGGGGGAGCATATGGCCTTGCTGGTCGGAGCTTTCCCACCAGCCTGTCTTTGGCCTTGAGACACTTGCAGAGAGGAGGGAGCCCATGACCTTGTGGGTCAGCAGCTTTCCCACCAGCCAGTATCTCTTTGCGGGAGGAGATAGTCCAGGTGCTTGTCCTTGACGGTGTCTGTCTCCATGGAGCATAGTGGATTCTGGAGTCAGGAAGCCAGAGAGTAAGCAGGGAATGAGTGTTTTGGTTTTAACCCCATATATGCTGGGTTTAATGCGGGGAAACTGATATCAGGGTTGGTATCAGTCTTACTGAGAAATGTTCTGGAGAACTCTATGGCCATCTTCCGTTGGGATAGTTTTGTATGTGACAGTTTTGCTAAGCTGAAATGTATTTCCCAGAACTCTCTTCCCAGTGTGGCTCCAAGTTCAGGTTGGCTACCAGGAAATTCATGCAAGATTTGAAAGACGGAAGCGACCCAGCAGCCCGTGTGCTGGACCGGACTCTGGCTGCGGCTGACACCCGCTCTCCCTGATCTGCGGATGACCTTGTGGACGTCCAGCAGCAGCCGGGTCTGTGGTGCCCTAGCTCTCGCTGGATGTTCTCCTCCGGTTTCTCTGAGACGCCAGCAGACACACACAAGCTTGAGGTCAGGTGAGCTGGCTTTAAAAGCAGGTCACCACGCAGTTAGGTTTGGGCGCAGTGAGAGCGGGCTGAGGGCGGGTCCAGTTCATCCTGTGAGTTCCTGTTTATTCTTCCAGATCCCGATTTGCTTTTGCTTTCACTCATTTTGTGCCTGGTTTTTTATCGTAAATGTAGGCCCTGCTTACACTCTGTGACTTCAGCCGACCACCAGGCACAGAGACGACAGTCTTACATGGACATCCTCACCAGCTCCCACAATTCAGTATGTCTTACGATAAATCTCTTGTTCCTTATGCTCGCAGTGGCTCTTCCTGTCCAACTGAATCCTAACTGATATGCCAAATGTTCAACTTTCTCCAAAACAGACATTTCTGGTATTTGTGTGATGACCTTTTTCTATATCTTGGTCTCAGGAACTGATCGTTTTTAATCATTCCACTGCCGATATGATGTGAGTTATAAAAGCATAGTTTATATCCAATGTCCATTAACATCTATCATTCTTTTTTTTTCTTTGGTCCAGATTTATTGAATCCTTATTATGTGCCAGGGCTACACTAAGTGACTGCATTGTCTCATTTAACCTCCACAGGAATTCCATGAGAGAGGCTACTATTAATACACTCTTAAGAAATGAGAAGAGAAAATTTAAGAGATGGCTGAGTTTTGATGTTGTCTCTGTGTTATCAGAACACAGTTGGCAACTCCTTTGAAAAACGACCAAGACATCAGTTTACAGAAAATTGGAAGTGTTATTTACAAAGTAAGAGGACATACCAAATTGCAGAAAGAGCCAATATCGGTAGTTAGCAAGAATATCAGTGAGTTGTGAAACTTTAATTGTCGAAGGTCGCACATAAAGATAGATAGCAGTGGAGCCAAGAGTGAGTCTAGACTCTGAGTGTGTAACTGGTCCTCTACCCTGCCTCACATTTCAGCATCACACTACCTGAGTCAGTCTGTCATTTTCCCCAAAATCTCCTGGAATTTTGATCAGGATTACGTTAAATATATTGATCCATTTGGGGAGAATTGACATCTTGAAAATATTGAGTCTTTCAATCTGTAAAGCTGGTATATTTCTCCATTTGCTTCCATCATCTTTACTTTCTATCAACAAATGTTTGTAATTTTAAGTATAAAGGTTTTGCACATCTTTTGTTAAATTTATTCTAAGCGTTTTATTCTTATCATTTGAATTACCCTTCCATGGAACTAGGTAACTTAGCTAAAGTAACAAAACAGACGGTGACAGAGTTGGGTAGAAAAGAGTCAAGTGTTTATTCTCCCTTTTTCTTCACCCTGGTACCATGGGGGAGGGGAGGGAGGAGCCCTTGCTGGTGGACGAGTGAGGTGACCAGGAAGGATTCCCAGGGCTTCAGGGTGTGATACCAGGTGTCTCAATGTGACTTACCTGAAGGGCCATCCTTCAGGGGAGCATTAAATAAGACTTCCCAGCTACCCTGTGACCTGCAGGACCATAAATCCTTTCAGAAAATCCAGCGAGAGTTTTGCAGATGCCAGTGAAGGGGAGAAACTCCCACATAAGGGTAGCACAGTGAACAGGAAGGGAGCCTTGGGCATAGATCTCCAAGAAAGAGGAAAGACTTGCTTATGAATGGTGTTGTTTTCAAGGCTGGGTAGCCCCTTTGCATTCCCATTAGGTAATATAAACATCTTGGCCAAAAGATAGATAAGTGTAGCATCATGTACCCCAAATAGGTGCCCTAAAATATATCATTAGATGGTACTTCGAATTTAGAATGCTGTGAATTATTTCTTAGTAAGTTGCTGAAATTTGGTTCAGGATTGCAGAGGAAAAATTATCAAACACTAATGAGAACAATGTGAAAATTGGTTTCAGAGGCCATTCAACTAAGATCTCCAAGACCGCCAACCGGCTGAATGGCCTAACTGGGGTTCTCGGATTAAGGCTGGTGGAAATTTCAAGAGCAACAGGAACGCAAAAGCCTTCACCCTCTCGACATTTGGGAGAGTTTACAAGGAGTGACCTCGGACCTAACACCAGCTTCCGTCCTGCTGATTGCAGGTAAGATGAGCACACTGAGCATCTAGGGGCAGTTCCAAGATTACAACAATGAGAAGGAAGGTGATGACATGTTTATCACGAGCCTTAGTATTCTGCTCAGTCAAATGAGTTTCCAGCATGAGAATAGGTAGTTAATACAAGATGTTTTTAAGAGTGAACTGACAACAACATGTATTTGTTCACCAGTGTCAAACTAGAAGCTATAGAATAATGGTGAGTGGAGATACTAGCTGATTATAACTCTAGGATTAAGGATTTAGCAATAAATCAGCAGATCCTCTTTCTGTTGGCTCCTTTTCTAAATTCTTGAAACTATCTGCAGGGTGGCTGTCAGGATTGTCAAAGTGTGTTTATTAAATTATTGGCCCCTGTCTTTCCCTGCATGGATATTTTGCCATTGTCTCACCAAGGGGGATGTATACTTCTCAGCTCTGGACTTTGGGCTCAGCTGTGGGACTTGCTTGGTAAATGGCATGTGGGGGAAGAAGTGACAAAGTGCCAGTTCAAGCCTAGGCTTTTAGTGTGCCACTCTCTGTCTGTGCTCCTCTGCCACCACCATGAGGAGAGCTTCCCTGGGTAGCTGGGTCCCTTCAGCAATCCCCGGAATGATCTCACGTTGAATAGACATGAATGATGAACCACATTCAGCTCGACCCGCAGCCTAACGCAGAGCCGCCCAGCCAAGCCCAGCCGCGACCATCAGCCTCACATCTCTGTGAACAGATGGTGGTTTGTTTTAAGCTTCCCGAGCTGTCTGTTCAGCACCCTCGTTGCAGCAATAACTGAGTGATACACACTTGGTGCTGGAGGCAGGAGCAGCTGTAACAAAACGTAAAATACACACCGTTGGGTTCTGGGCTGAGCAGTGGGTGGGCTTTGGATTGAGACCTGGAAAATGGTAAGGAAAATAGCTGGGAAAACAATGACTCATGTTGTGTAGAGGCAAAACATTTAGTAGAACTTTCACCTGTAGAACTTGCAAGATGAATATCGTTCCTCAAAAACTTGCAGACTCAGGCGAAACAGTTTCTACACAAAATCTGAGAAGTGTGAGCTGGTCTCTTATAGCTGCATGTGGTCTATTCGTACAAGAAAGAGAAGAGATCAGAAAAGAATTGACCAGTTTGTAAGCAGAATGTTATAAATCCAGAAATTGCTGGCTTTGAAAATTAGACTATTCCGCACCTCCAGCTTCTCCAACCAGTAAAGGATTCTCAGATTCAGAAGCAGGATGGCAGCAAAGATTAAATCAATATCCGTATACAGCCTGGGGTGTGGAATAGTCAGAGTTTGGTCTTCACACTATTTGTTAAGATGCCTGGAAAAACTGAGGCGGTGCCTACCAGGTCACTTCAGCTATAACAAAGGGCATCTAGAAATAGGCTTTCCAGATAACAGAGCCTATTTCCTTTACATTTTTTTATTTATGACTTTTTACACACATTTTATACAAATCTGGCAGGCTTAATTTCTATCATATTCATTTTGAATTATACAAAAGAATCAGGTTATATATTTTAGAAGATTAATATTTTATTTTTAGTAGAATGCTTTAGTTTTTGACCCTCAGGAGCAATTTTTATATAAAAAAATAGTGTTTCTTACATAGGATGACAGTCATATTAAGAAAGTTTGTGGGCAGGGTCCTACAGAAGCCTAACGTATCGAGATTAAGAGTAGAAAGAGAAGCACACATTAGAGAAAACTGTGGGTATGGTTTTTGGCCCACGAAACACATTGCAAATGCTATATGGGAGACATAATGTTTTTGAAAGATTTGGTTGGAAAAAGGACTGAAAAGGACTGAGAACCGCTGGGAACGTTAGAAGACATTTGGGCTCCAACGTCCACCAGCAGGAAGCAGCCTGAGAAAGCTGCTCAGCTCCCAAAGGGCATTTGAGATGAAGTTCTTTTCAGAGATGCCAGAGAGGAGGATTGGGGAAGAAGGACATCGAGAGGATGGAGCAAGAAACCAGGAGAATAATGGAGGGGAAACTACCCCCTGGAAGCGGAACTGGAACTGAGATCTTATCAAGGGCTGTGCCTGTCTCTAGAAGAGGGAACCTGGTGACATTTCCCCCATGGACTTCAAAATTACTATAGCCAATACCTCCTGTGTACCTGCATCCCATTCCTGCTTCCTCTTTTTAAACGGGAGTGCTTCTTGCAATTATTCTTTCTCTGTTCCAAAGTGTGTACTGTGTTTGGG